GCTCCCGCTGCCGCCGGTGCTGCCGGTGCCGCCGCGGCTCGGCGGCTGCCGTTGCCTACGGGTCGCTGCCTCTGCCTGCCGACATTGCCCGCGCGCCGCTCGCATAATCCCCGGCGCGGGCGGGCCGGGCGCGGGCAGCAGCAGCTCCTCGCCCGCCGGCGCTGCGGGGACGGCGGAGGCGGGGTGGGGGGGAAGAGGCGAGGCGGGCGGGCCGCCGCAGCTGCGGGGGAGGGGGGAGCGGGGAAGGCGAGGAGCCCCGCGCCGGCGCTGCCCTGGCACGGCGGCCCCGCGGCTTTCTCCGCCCGCCGATCCGAGCCGAGTCCCGCGCCCCGGGAGCGCCGGGAGCCGCCACTTCCTTCCCCGCGCCCCCGGCGCTCCCGCACCCGCGCGGGCGGGGCGGCGGCGCCGCCTGGCGGGCGCGGCGGGGAGTGCGGGGCCGGTGCGGGGCTGCCCCGGGCCCGGCCCGCCTTCCCCCGCTCGGTATCGGCGGGTCCCGACCCCCAGCCCGGTCCCTGCGCTCACCTGCCCCCCCCCCCGCAGCAGCGGTGGGGCCTCCCCAGCTTCACTCCCAGGAAAGGGGGGGGGGGGGGGGGGGGGAAGAAAAATCTCTGAAAAGTTTAGCGATCGCTTTATTCAGAAACCGCAGGAAAAATAATTTGCCGTGGCCTTTGGAACCTTCGTTCGTTTCCTGCAGTTGTTCCTGGGGTTTTTTTCCAGGATGCATCGTTCCAGCCCTTCTGTCCCTCCCAGTTTGTTTTGTAAACGTTCCCTGCATTGCTACAGTAAATTCTAGTTCGCATCACAGCTCTTTGTAGGGACAAAGTGCAAGGCAGATTACACCCAAACCTACCACTGCTACAAGACACCTTTTTTTTTTCTTTTAATTTGCTTTCTAGAAATGTGAACAAATAGAAATTTTATTTTCCAAAGGTTAAATCTCAGAGCTGAAGGTGTTGTAATGTTTATTATCATAGAGAAAACTATGCATGGGAGTGTCTTGCAAGGGCAGAGTGAGGCAAGGAGAGCCTGGGGCTCCAGGCAGGACCAAGTAGATCTGGAAAGGCAGTAAATGCCTACATAGCTGGGAGGTGTCAGGTGAGACAAGGGGAAGATGATTAAAGTCCTTCACAGAGGAGGCATAAGCTCCTCTCCTTCTCTGGAAGTCCTTAATCCCCAAATAGAGAATTTTCTCGTGTTAAGGGGAAGTTTAAAAGGGATTTAAAAAAAGGACAGTGTCCAGCAAAGGGCACGGCCGGCACAATCCTGGTTCCCACAGTAAACACACTCCCTGTGTCCCAGTTTTTGGTGCTTCGGGTGTGATTTTCAGGAGCACTGAGCATTCAGGCCTCCCACTGCTTTAATCTGGAACTGCAGAGCCTCTGCCCCTCTGATGAATCAGGCTGAAGGCACCACACTGAACAGGTCAGCCCATGTCACACAGGTATTTCAGAAGGTTGTCCTAGAAGTTTACCAAAAGCAACACTTTTTTTTTCCCCTCCCTTCAGTGTTATAATAGAACAGAAATAGCCTAAAGAGCTCCAACAGATGGAGGAGGACTTTTGATTAAAAAATAAATTCTGACTCACAATTCAGTTTTCTGGCTGTAATAAAAAAAGAGTCCATGAATATGAATAGTGCTGGAAAGAATGGAGTGGAGATGAAGGGAGGTGAGAGGGAAAGGCACTGAAAGAGCTGAGCTGATTTACCTACTTGCCTCTAATGTCTGTCAGGAAAATTCTTTGGTTTTGCTGTAGCACTGATGAAAGAAAACAAGGCCATCAGTGGACTCATGAAATTTTCCTGTGATGGATTCCATGGAAAAATCCTGCTGGCTGAGTGGTACTTCTGAAGAATACTTTCAAATTGTGCCCATTAATAACAAAATGATGGGAAAACTTTGGCTAAATAGAGCGGAGCAGGGAAGTCAAAGATTCTTTTTTCCTCCCTCCACCCCTTCTAAGTAAAAATTACCAGTAAGAACATAGAATGACATAAAAATTGTGCATCTCTTTGTGGAGACTGAAAATATATTTAAGGAAGTCATGTCCGTGCATTCAGACCCAATTTATACATTTTAGAGTAAAGGGGAAATGAGGAACTAAAACATCCCAGACACCTCCCCAGCTCTGGTCTTGTACTGAAAGGACCCACAGGGCACAAGGGGTTGCAAAAACCACAAGATTTTCAAGACTCTGCATGGGTAGGACAGTTCTTCATGAAATATCTGAAACCACAGCACTCTAATTTTAGAATCAGACCTTCTCAAGCTTCCTTTATGACAGCTCCTCTGGCCCTATAATCACATCATTGGTGGCTAAACATCTTGAACAAGGACAGAATATGAAACACACAATATGATTAAAACCTACATTATGGCTGATGTAATATCCCAGAACCTATTATTGTACTCGGGCAGGAGGAAAGAATCTAATTAAACATTTATTTAATATTAAAATACAAACCAAAGTATCAATGTTGGACAGTAATGCAGCAACATGTCAACTGGCAAATCTGGATTTTTCACCAAGAAAAATGCATTTCTGTTCACAAATACATGAAATGTTCACGATGGGAACACTGGCACGAAACCCAGTCTGGCACAGGAAACCAGTAACTTCAGGGAAGGAGTTCCAGTCCTGGAGAGTCAGCTGGAGTTGAGCTGTTCACTGGGAGACAGGGAGGCTGCTGTCAGGTGAATCCTGGTACTCACAGTATCAAACACTACTCACTGTGACTGCTGGAGACATCAGGGAATTCAGAGCAGTATTTTCCTGCCACAGCCATAGTGAAAGTATTGCTCACAGTTCTGTCACAATGAAAAATATCCATGTTAAAGGGTTCAGCTGAAAGGATTTACCACAGAACAGCAGTTCTCTTTAACACAGGTAACTCATGTTGCTTTTTGTATTAAAGTTCAAAATCTCCTCTTGGCTAGTATTTACATCACACCCTAAATATTTATAAAATGGTGGAGGAAAACCAAGTGCAAAAGGGTAACACTATCATTTTCTGAAAAGAAGCTGCCTTTTAGTTTCTTATTCTTATTATAAATTCAATATCACTATTTAAAAATAATTAATATTTCTAAAAATATTACAATACAGGATAAACATTGATTTCTCAGGTGTAATAAAAATATGTTTAAAATAGAGGTTGCGGTTCCAAGTACAAAATATTGCTGTTTGTAAAGGGTAACATGGTTGTAAAACTACTTTTGAGGGCTTATAAAAATACAAAACAATTTGCATTTACTGAGTGCATAATTATATATTAGTGCAAAAAAAAAAAAACCAAAAGGAAAAGAGTATATTTGCAGTCAGGAGAGAACTGTCAGAGATTGGCAGAGGTCCGTAAAACATGGAATCTTTTCAGAGTCATTCTTATCAACCCCAAATCCCTATTAATTCTTTCCAAGCGATCTTCCAGGGCTTCCTAAAAGGAAGAGTTAAAGACAAGAAAGAGAAGAAAACATTAATAATATAAAAAATTCAATGATCCTTCTAAAATTAAGAAACTCCTGTTATTCCTGTATTCCTGGTATCCTTTTTGAGGCATTCTCAGTATTCTGTTACCACCCAAAAACTAGAGCCAGACCTCCAAACTTTCCATATCATTTTTATGGGTGAATTTGTAGGTTGTTGGTTTTTTGGCCACGTGACTTACGAAACTCCAGGAGATAAACTTGACAAAAATTGGAACAGGCTGATAATTAGGGAGACACATTTAGCAAAGAGCTGATCATTACAGTGAGTGGCAGTATTGATTTTTTAATTTCAAACTGATTAATTGCTAACAAGGATTAGAATTTAGGAAATGCTGAAGTTGAAGGCTTCACGGAGACCTTTAAAACACAACTTTGAGACACTTGTTTCTATTAAAAGAGTCTGCAGAGCTTCCCAAAGAAGGCACTTTCCTGTATTCCACCTACACTGCTTATTTTTACCTTCTTACTTTCCTCTTTACACTTTCAAGGAGACAAAAAACAACCAAACAAAAACTAAACTTTGCAATTTCTCCTACAGCACAACGTCCTCTCCACAGTTTCAGGGATCTATTCCATAGTAACTGCATGCTGTTAATTTATTGCCTTTATCTACCTCTCAGTGTTATCACAAGAACAGACTATTCTTGCAGCAAGTTGGCAAAATTCATCCCATGTACAAAAAATAGAAGATATAAACAATATAAAACAATAACATAAAACCCAAAACCAATATAAAAATTGCCACAGAAATCACACTACACAGCAGAACTTTCCTCTACGTATTCTCAAATTGTGGAAGAGCAATTTAACAGGACAGTCAGATGTAGAAGCTTTTTCACCTGATTCAGTCTTGCTTGCAAGGTCATTCTTCCACCAGAACAAGGTATTCGACTCAGTGCAGCCTCAATCTAATAACAGAAAACACTTCAGCTGTAAATGAGAGTTTCAAGAGCCAATATGAGCCTTCCCAACTCCTCTTACAAGAAGAGAGATGAGGTGTATGGATTACTGATACGGCTACAGTTTTGTCCTCTAACACTCACTTCTGTGACCATAATAATGTGCCAATCCCCACTCACGCTGTGTTTGCATTCCAGTGACTGTCCTTTAATGAAATTAGGGACAGAGAAGGTCTGGAAGTAGAGCAGGGAAGGATAAGGGCACATTCCCAGCGTGACACTAAAACTGTGCACGAATTTCAGCCACGCACTGCGTGGACATCCAGCTCCATCCCTCCCCTCTCGTACAACAATTATGTTTTGTCACAACTTGAAAACAGAAATAATCTTTGCCTGTTGCTTTTCTTGAGTCAGCTCATCAAAAAGCCTCTCTGTTTCAGCCAGAGTCGTGATCCTTGCTGTGTATTTGAAGTCCTCCTCCCCAGGCGACGCCGCTGGCTCATATTTTTGAGCTGTGCTCCTCTCGTCCCAAGCTGCCGCCTTCTTCATCCCGCTGCTGATGGATTCAGCACAAGAGCTGTGTCTGACACCTGAATGCTGCCTTCCTAGCAACAAAGCAGGGGGATTTTTATATTTTTATATTTGTAATTGTCCGGGAAATGATTGCATAGGACAGAAAAACAAAGTAATAACAGCACAAGCAGCGTGATCGTGGTGGTATGTGAACCGAGGACAGTGAAGCAAAGCCTCAGTCCCTTGCCTTAAACAACTTCCCAGAAGAATGCAAAACATTTGTAGGGGTCATCTTTCAAGTGATCTTTGTAGCACAACATATTTTTTTGGCTAACAAACAGATTCCTCTATTGTGCTAATTAGGAATTACTTTTACTGGTACATTTCTAAATATCACCAAGCAGAGCAGCTGTCAGGCAAACACCAGGCTAAATAAATGCATCAATAAAAACAAAAGCAGAACATTGTGACAAGGATTGGGAAGGCGAGAAAAGATTTGGTTCAATCGATCATTTAAAAATCTGAAAGAACTGGTTTTATTAGAGTTACTCTTTGCTATCTGTAATGCAATGTTTAGCAATAGAATTTTATTAGTATGACTCAGGTACATCTTAATATAGACCCCCCCTAAGATATGCATTGGATAACTGAGTTAAGCACAGGGAAATGTATTGCCCTCCTTCCTCAATTTAATTATTTTTCTTGTTCTGCCATGTTTGTGCACCCACATACACATAAAAATAAAATACTGTATGAATGGTATATCTCTGGCTCCAGGGATAAGACAAGATTTTTAAAAGAGGACTTTTAAAAGTTGGACTTTGTCGAGTCAAGGGTCAGCTTTCCAGTTAAGCAGCTGTTACCACTGTGGAAGGAGCTGTGGTACAAAAATACTGTGTGGGAGTTTCCCCCCACTTTGACAGATTACCTTCTGCATCATCTAGTGAGAGAAACTGGAGCCTTTTCCTTGGGTTATTGTGCTGTAAAGTAGATGTAGCACCAGTTTCCAGGTCGTCTAGAAGTATATCAAACCTACAGAGCAGGAAGCACACAGCAATGACTTGTTAGAAATCAGGGATCAGGCAATACAGAATTTTCTACTTTTTCACCTTTTGGTTAAACAAACAATTTTTTTTATAAAACTATTTATATCCCATAGCCACTGCAAGTCTTCTGATTCCTGTTCATAGCACCATAACCCAATGTTCTCCTATTTCCACACACCAAAACCTCTCATTTGTGTGACTTTCTCTCAGAGCCTCACCAAGCTGTTGCTCCTGAACACCCTGAGCTCCTGTTTCATCATCCTCAGGAACTCTCAGAGTGGTGCTGGACATTTCTTATTCCTCACACACGTGTCCTACACTTTAATCTCACAGCTAAGTGTGTTCTCAAACTCTGTAAGCTTTGCCAAGCAAAGATTTTGATAGAAACCATAGTATTTAGGAAGTTAGCAGAAAGGTAAGTTTATGTGTATTTTAACATGCTTGTAGGTACCAGGACAAGTAGGAAGATCCTACTTTCAACTTTTATTCACATCTGATCTGCACTTACTCCACAGAACAATTCTTCTTTAACTACTTGTCACTGATCAATGTTGTGTCACTAACAAACCCCACATCCCTTCTGCATTTTCCTTGCCAGATTTTAAAAAGTAAAACTCAGCTTTATATTCAGAAAACTTCATGACTCACTTTCTAGACAAGAACCAGCAGCATTAAGCCTCTATAATAAACACCCTCCTGCTCTAGTAATGATCAGAACACAACTGTAATCACCACACTCGTACCTTGTCACTGTGTTTTCATTCCTGCCAAGCAAATGGCTGAATCCAGGGGAGAGGTTTTCTTTTGGAGATCGTTTTGGGCTGTACGTCACAGACACCGGTGCCAACATTATCTCTCTTCTTGCTGCAAAAGACAAATTATGTTTATCTACCTTAAACCTCCCAGTGCAGTACCTCCCACTCATGTGCTTACAGCTTAAAAGAATGCTTTTCAAAGCTGTCTACATGTTTATTTAAATTTGATGAAAAGTGCATCACAACACAGAGAAATGAAAATAAACTCAGAGCTCTCACATTTGCTGTGATTACAGACATTCTCCTTTTCAGACTGTCAGAGTAATGCAGGAATCCTGCCTCTATTTTGCTCTCTCCTAGAGCAGCCTGTCATTGTTTGCTCCTAGTTCTCGAGTAACACAAAGCAAACTTGAGAAAAGCACTGACTTGGAGTGTTGGGTTTCCTGTTGGAAGGAGGAAGGGACGATGACCTCTGGCCTGAAGGAGAGCTGAACCTTTTGGGTCTGTGTTGGTCCTTCCCTTTCTCTGGGGTGGCAACTAAAGAAGCTTCAACAAACCCAACAGTTTGACGGCGATTTGATGTTTCTAGTTAAAAGAAAAAAAAAGTTGTTATATTAATCAATCTTTTTCAATATGAGAACTCACAAATATTCTCCTGAATAACAAATGACAAAGGTTGCACTTAAATCTCCCTCACATCAACATATTTGTGCTGTTTTGTTCCAGTCTCTCTTCTACTCACAGAATAGCCAGTTTAACTCATGGAAAAGGATCTTTGCAGAGTGGGGGCCTTTCTTTCCTTTTTTTTAATAGAGAAACAGTGGAAATCAGACAAAAGCATCTTTTGAGAAAGAAAGTTGGAGTACCTGCCTGAGCCAAGAGTACAAGCATTTAAGAAACACTCGATGTTTTCTAATGACAAGGCTCCTAAATCCCTGCTGTTACGACAGCTCAGTGCAGTCCCACACACACACCAGCTTCCTTAATAACATTCCAACACAACACCATGAGAACAAAACTCAAGTGGATGTACAGCCAGAGCTTTCTTAGGGCTCCATTAACTGTTTATAAATACTGAGATATTCTTAGAAAAGAGGACATTGACGAGTCTCCAGCTTGAGACCCAACAGCAACCTTTGCCTTCCCTCTATTCTAAACAAGTCACTTAACTCTCTAATTTTTAATTTTCTTAGAAAAACTTCAGAAGTTTGCCTGCTAACACTGTTTTTATCCCTTCACTGAAGCCTGATGGACTTGAATGCTGAGAATACCGAAACCAAAAGACATGCAGACAAAGAAAAGCCAGTAAAACATGCCCAGGAATATAAAAATAAGAGTTACTGGCTGGTGCGTCTTCTTTGTCTGTCTGTGTCCCCCAGTCTTTAAATACTTTTCCTTCTTCAAGTTCTTTAAAGGCTTTTATAATTGGTGCTTCTGACATCTCATTTTCTTTCTTTTCTATTGTGTTTGTTGAAGAGTCTTCCTGTGAAGAATCTTTTTCAGGAGGAGAGTGATACCTTAAAGGATGTGAAGCAGTGGAAGGAAAAAAATGATCAAATTTTTAATGAGGTGTTTCGTTTTTAAGTAATTGTACAGCACCTACAACACTGAGAATTTTTTTTAACTCTATTTAACAAGTACAAAATCTAGAAATAGAAATCTAGTCAATAAAAGTTTTTACAAGTGTTCTACTTTATTAATTTTAGAAGTGTTCCACTTTTCCTCATACTGAATACTGAAGGAAACCAACTCACCTGGAAGGAATATAGTTTTCTTCTAATCTGTTGTCTTTGGGGCTTTCCTGACCTTCCAAAGGCTGGCCAGTGAAAATGGAATATTCAGCTCCTGGTATCAGCCACTTTCTCCTGCTTACATCAGGAGTTCCCAACTTGCTGTGGGAATAAAAAGCTTCAAAATTACAAAAGGCTTTGGAGTTTTTCTTTTGGGTTTTTTTGTTGTTTTTTTTTTTTTTTTATTTTTTAAAGAAAAAGCTGCTATTTATTCCAGTAAACAGAAAGAATTATACAATAAACTTGTAAGTACCGTGGGAAAATATAACTGCTTTTTAAAACATGTTTGTGAAGTAAAAGTGAAATATTTTTTTAAAAAAAGTCGTATGTTGAGGTTTCAGTCTAAATTACACAATATGCTCAGAATGCAAAGCTCCACAATGATCTTCCTGTAATTTAATGCTGCTTACTCAGACCAAGGTTTGGGTAACAGTAGTTCCCAACTAATTACATGAAAACATTTGGTGGAGATTATTGCAGTAGTTCAGAGCATCTGATCCCAGCTTTCCTTTGGACACCAAATATTAGAAAAAGAAAAAAGAAAAAACAAAAACCAAGAAAAAGCCACCATGGATGATGTGAGAGTGATAAATATTGACTAATAAACATCTGTTAGTATATTCTTATCTTGAAATGTCAAAAGAACAATGTGATTTTTACACACAGCAAAGTAGATAATTAGAAAAAAAGGGTCTTGTTTACCCAAGCTATGAACCATAAGCACTATTGTGTAAATCTATCCTGCTGGGCATTCAATTGGAATGAGGCTTTCCTTGAGCCTCTGAGATCAGTTAGGGACAGATTAACTTCTAAATCCATATTGGCTCTTACATCCCCCTGATGAACATGGTCTGCCCTGCCCAGGTCTTCCTTTTTTCTGTTCATTGTTGAGGGATCTGGTTCAGAAATATTAAAAGAGCTCTAAACAGAAATCTGTCCCTCTAATATATTAATACATAAATTACTTGCATCTTTGTAATCAACAAAAATCAGATCTACCAAAATACATACAAGTGGATAACCACAAATCACATTAATTATCATTTTGAGCTTCACAGCATCAGTGCTGAAGTGGGAGAGACACTGAAGAAACCATAACTAAGGAATGAAAAATGAAGGGGGACAAAGTTTTTCAGGTCTTTAAAACATAAAAAAAAAACTCAAACAAAAAAAACCAACAAAGAAACAAACAAACAAAAGAAGAACACAGGTCAGTTTTAATTCTCCTAACATAAATTCCCAATTCAAACTAGAGTGTGCATTGTCACTAACTCCCACTCTACTCTCAGGATACCTGTACAAACCATATTTAGAACCATAAAAAGTTCTGATCAGCCTTTCAAATCAATGACACATATGGAAAACCTCCAATGTCTTGTTGGAGTATTAGATTTTATTCCCAAATTCTTTGTTGAGTGTGGAAATCCCTATTCAGCTGAGCAATTGAGACCCATCTAAAACCCATTTGGGAAGACCAGAGACACTCTGGTCCATTATCCAAAGTATCGATTTGGGTTTCATAATTTCTTGGCATGTGAAGTCTCTGGATTATGTTACATGTGTTTAATCCAGTTTAGCCTATGGACTGACCTCATCTTGATCCACTTTTAGCCAACACACGTTAAAAAGTGTTCCAAACACAGGACCTGTTTTCCCCTTGTTGGAACATTCACTCACTTGGCACAAGAGGTTCTCAAACGGTTCTCGGTGATGTGGCGAAGTTTCAACATATTTTCATGTTCCACCTGCTTGAGCTGAGCTTCAAGTTTTAGAATTGTCCTAAGGGGGAAGCAGTAAAGATGCATTAGGAGACGATTTCAATGATACAAAAGATACATCGTATTTCTTAGTTTACTCATTTTTATTCAGATATCCTGGATGAAGCAGGAGAACAAGAGAAACTGCTACATTTATAGAAATGTATCTCTGTATCTATCTAAATACAGGTATAAATATGGATTGGAATTCCAAGTTAAATAAATCAGGTAACCCAGCTAGAAAGACAGGACCAGGAAATGTTGCTGTGGAAGCAGAAGTAGAAAAAAACACATATCCTAAAATAACAAGATTTTTAGTGTGTTCAAGTAACATCAAACAACAGGAATACTTCATAAAATGTAATTAAACTGGCAAGATCTACAGCCTTCATAATCTAGGAGTAGATGTTTAGGCCATAGTCTGTATTTCATATGGGTAAAAGAGTAATAAGTTTCACAGTTACCTTTTTAAATCAGAAATCTGCCTGTTTGCATCAAGCAATTTGTTTTCAGTTGTATTTAATGTATCCTACAAGGACACAAAGAAAAAAGTGAAAAGCCCAGAAGTGCACTAAAAGAAAAACATGTAACTCCACATCAGTCTCGAGAACACTCCATTAAATACACCTTCCTATTTCAAAGGGTCCATTAAATTTCCTTGGCTTTGATTTTGCAGTATTTTTGCTGTCTATGATTGGAAAATAATACATTCCAAATTCCCCCTTTTCCCTCCAGGGCTCTGCTGATGGAGTAAGAAGCTCTCAGTAAAAATAAACATGGATCTTTCCACCTGAGCTTTTTTCAAAATGCTTCAGTTAATTCAGCAAATTCTGTGGCACATTATCACATAGTTTGCATGTTTGGTTTTTTAATTAACTGGAGTGCACCTACCTTTACTCTTTCATGTTCTTTTCCAAGGGACTCGTATTCTCCTAAAAGCTAAAACAGAACAAAAGAACACAAGAACTCACACTGAGACCATCCACAATTAATCTGTAAGACTGCTGTAAAATCATCTCAACTGCTTGTCTACCACATGCAGAAGCACTACAGGGGATAACAAATACTATTAAAGGACATTTTGTAACTTCTTCTTATCATCATCTAATTGGAACAAGAAGTTCTAGATGGGACAATAGGAGACAGAGTTACTTACAAAATGTATTTCTAATTTTCAAATTCTCTCTCTCTAAAGAAACTGAATGAATGAACCAGTAAAATTCCTCATTGACTTTAAAACTGACTTTGTATTTTGAAATCTCAATTGTAAAAAAAAGAAATTAAAGCATGAAGTAGATTTTCCAGCTAATACCCATTTTGTCAATCCATTTAAACATTCCATAAAGCTATTCCTGCAGAATTGGAGGAACAATTCCTTTGATTCAGCCTAAAATCATATACAATGAACAGTTTTATCGAGCTGTGATGAGGTATGAGAAATTTAGTCCCTCTCCAACAAACTTAAGAGAGGAAAAAAATAACTTTCTAAAATAATTTCATGTACCATCTTCAAAAATAAAATTAACTAAGAGCACTTAGAGTAATAAATACCTGAGACTGACTATGGGAAGGGTTATCAAGTACAAATAAGCTGCCTTAAATAATTGTTTTTAAATATCTATTAGTGTCACCCAGCCTACAAGGAGTCAGCTGAGTCATTTCTGCTGTGTTAGTTGTGCATTAAGACTTTCCAGTTGGAAACTCGGAGCAGTTTCCACACCCAGGACGGACTTCCTGTTGTCCATTTTCTCACTTACATTTTGAAACATTTTGTTTTCTTCTTTTAGCCTCGTGTTTTTATTATCAGATAACTTGTAGGCCTTCTCAAAAGCTTCCTCCAGCTCCTTGAGCCTGGACTGCAGGCGGCTGATGGTGTTGTCCTTCTCCTTGTGGGTCGTCCGCATCTCCTCGATCCGCTCCTGCAGAACCTTGGAAGTGCTGCTGAGGGTCTGGAAACGCTCCCTCCACTCTGCCTGGAGGAGACAAAACATCCTTTATAAACACTTCCCTGGCAGATTATTTATTTCAGTGCAAAGTGCAACCTGAAATCATCTAAACAGAAAACAAGGGTACTCCTGGACATGAATTAAACAGGATTTTTTTGCTCATTTCTGTGACGCTTCAAGAATGAAAGTGAAGACTGGAAAACACCAAAGATGTATTTATTTTACAGGACTTATAATATCTAGAGATGAAGCCTCTAATCTCAGATGATTGATTTGCTTCCCAGCATAGAAAAATGTCTAAGAAAGGTGGAATTGGTCTCTGCAGGTGTCCAACTTACAAGACAAAGTGTCCTGTGATTTGACTAATAAATGCAGCATTTATTTATGCATACCCAAAGAGGTCTGGCCTAGCCAATACCAGTGTAAATATACTTAGAGAGAGAGTATTTTTGCCCCAGTACAGGTGAGATTTGCTTTTATCACAGCTCGAATCAGAAAGTAATTAAAAAAAAAATCAATAAATTAGGAAAATTTAGAGAGAAAAACAATAAACACGTCACAATATTTCACTCTTGAACTCTGTTTGATCCTTGCCAACCTGGAAAAAAGCTCATGAGTAAAAGTGCTGAGGATTCAGGTAGGGAGTCCCAAGAAACTCAGCTGGGAAAATCACTGGTGTAACACGCTGGCTGATGTCACATAGCAAGAGAAAGGTTGAAAATAAAAAATAAAAGCATAGAAACACAGATCAGCTTAACAGTGAACAAGCTTTTCTCTCGCTCTTTCACTTAAAAAGCAACTTGATTTAAGAACATACACTTACCACTTGCTTTTCCAGCAGATTATTCTTATTTTCCAGGGCTTTTATGCGAGCACTGGCTTCGTTCAGAGCTGCATCCAACTGCTCACACCTATTAAGAACATACAGATTACACAAAACTTCAAATAATAAATCTACATTTTATAGCCTTCTTTCCTTCCTCAAGCCTCCCCATGAATTTTGGTGCCCAGCCTGTGACCTCCTCCTACTTTGACTCAATAAGACTGCCCAGAAGTCATCTTTGAAAGCAGACATTAGTGCTGGAAGTCCCAGCTACCCACACACTTTCTCAATTATTCTGAAGGACATAAACTCTGTGAAGTATTTTAGCTGCCTAAATTTGCAATATGTATTTTGACTGGCAATAATGATACAAAAATCTCATCAATATTCTACATATAGCAACCACTCAAGCTCTGTCTAATGGAAGACACAGGTGGGGCACACAGAGGGCAGCACAAACCCACCAGTGAATTCAACACTGGTCCTGTATCATCTGGAGTTTTGACATGAAGGGTAAAGAAGGACAACATAGATCATTCCCATTCAAATTGCTTAGGATACCTCTGCCTGACAGCCCTTCCCAAGGAAAGCTTGTACTGGCTCCAGCAACAATCAGGTCAAATAAACTGATTTTCACAGAATCATGGAATGGTTTGGGTTGGAAGGGACCTTAAAGATCATCCAGTTCCACTCCCCTGCCATGGGCAGGGACACCTCCCACTATCCCAGGTTCCTCCAAGCCCCATCTAACCTGGCTTTGGACACTTCCAGGGATGGGGCAGCCACAGCTTGAAGAGCTGCATTAAATAATGCAAAATTTATATTTAATAGGGAAATATTAGTATCACAGACCCATGAAATCTTCAGAATTGAAGAGTGACATAAACTTTTCAAGACATTCTAACACAAGGATGCCCAGTTTTGAAAGTGTAAAGAACACCATGAAAAGAGGAAGACAACAAGGAAGGACAAACAGCACCTGTCAGCAAGACTTTGATTGATTTTCTTCAGGTCCTCAGCAGAAGCAATTCTCTGACTTGCCTCCAGCTGCTGCTTTAAGCTCTGGATCTCCGAGTCATAGTAAGCTCGGAGATCAGCGATGTGTCGAGCGTGTTTCTCCCTCAGGTTCTGCCTAATCCTGTTTTTAAAATTAAGAATTTAAAAAAAAATAAAAAATCCAGCTATTCATATGTAATCATTTGGATATTTCATTCAGAATCAACTCTGCATACAAATCTCTCTCACAAAACTTTTTTCCATTCAAATTAAAGCAAAGAAAGTTTTGTCATCTAAGGTAGAGAATTCTTTGCATTAATACAACTAGAAATTATGATTATTCTATACAAATAATACATACAACACAATAAAAAGCTTTATTTTTTACAGGCCCTCACACATGGAATATATGCCCTGTCTGCCTGTCCATGTGCAAAGCATGAGAGCTTCAACAGTGAATATTTATTTTTCCTAAGTCCAGTAGTTCTGTGCTTCTCCCACCATTTGACTCTAAAGAAGAAAACAGACACCCCCCCCAACTTTGAAATTCTCTGCCTAAATAAACCCCCTCACGCAGCCTGTAAAGGAAGGATGTATTTTTATTTTTATGTATAAAGAGAAATAACCAAATAAAACCTAGAAAATTGTTTTGCCTCCCAGTTAAGGCTTTGACGTCCAAGGAAGACAAAACACAAATATCGTGCCTTGGAATAAATTGTATGGTCTAAAGAAGACTAAATATTGTGGTCTAAAGAAAATTAATAGGATGGTTAAAGAAAGACAATTGTAAGAAGTGGAAAATGACTGTTCTATTTATACCCCAGCTATATTTTAAGGGAGGAAAAAAGAAGAAAAAAAGAGAAAAAAAGCAGGAAATGTCCAGCTCTGTTCTAAGCAAACTGAATTCATGCTTTCTTTGGTTTATTACTACTGTTGTTTCATTTCTTCCATAAAAGTAACAACTCTGACTTTTAAAAAAGGAAAAATTACTCACTGTGACATTACCACAGGGTCTTCAACAGGTGCTACTGAAAGGCTGTAATCTGGCAAAGTGTTGTCAGCACACTGAGTAACAGAGGATGGAGTTAAAGTCAGTGTTTCTTCCTCCTCAGTGCTGACTGAACTCTCAAGGTCAGCATCCCTGTGTGCCTTTGGAAAAGGGGAGCTGCTCTTGTTTTCACTTTGGAACGGGTGATTTCTCCAGAAGTCCAAGTGCACAGCTCTGCTCCTGGCAGGGTGTTTGGGAGAATCATCTAACTGAGAAGAGTGACTTGTCTGTGAAAAAGAGTCTGTGTCACAATGACTTGAAAATCCTGGCTCTGCCATAGAGTCTGGAGAAAAGGGAGTAATCTCTTCAGGAATATTGAAAAAACAGCGTCCCTGGTTCTGCTGACCTGGTTTCATGTGCAGGGTTGGGTCCAACGTCAAGATCTAGGAAATAAGTTACAATGCTAAAAACCTGTGATTTAACTTTTCTTCTTTTAAATGGAGTTGATCTGAAGACACCAGTAAAGCATATTACACTGCAGGCATTACACTGAATATTACTGCAGTCATTTGGTAGTGACGAGAAGGTGCCTGTAACACTCAGTGACAATACACATTCCCAAATTTCTAAGTTTCCATTAATAAAGGACATATCCAACATCTGTAGCTGTCTAGAAAACCTTTGAAATTTCACTTATGCAAACAGAAGGTCTATAATATCTGTTTATATGTTGAAACAATAACTTTGTAGGTTACAAAAGCAATTCATGAATTATCTACACAATACAGTCACACGTTAGCCATAATTACTGGATTATGTACAGGACTGAGAGCTGTATAAAAAAAAGAGAGATGACAAAGAATCATTTCCACAACCTGTGCCTGTCCTGTCTCATGGGAAGCACTAAGAAAATCCTGCTTGTGCCACTGCAGTTCCAGTGCATTCCATGAGCTGCAGCCTCAGCACAGGCAGAGCCGTCCCTGCACCATCCTCAAGGTTGTGCTGCAAAGGTGCCTCTTCACTCAGGGTGTTCTCAGAGGTTCTTCTCAGTTGGATCCTTTCCCGGGCTGGTTCAACCCTCGGCTGCTCAAACTGCTGTTCCAGCAAAACACTGGAGGTGGCAGCAGGGGCCAGTTCATGTGAAACCAGCCTGTATTCAACATATCCTCAACTGAGATGGGAAGTAAAGAAATTCATGTTACCTCTGGTGGGTGACTTGACTGGGAAGAAGGCAAAACATTCTGGTCTGGCATCTGCTTGTTTTCCCTTTGTCTTTTATGATAAATATCCTTCAGGGATGACAACTTCCTTTCCTCAGCAGAAGACAACTTCAACAGGCAAAATTGCTACATTACTTTTTCTGAACACAATCTTCCACCCCCAAAATAAATAAATAAATAAGTGTTGGGGTGGGTTTAGCTGATAAAGCAGTTCAGCTTTATCAGGACAGAAGGCAGCTTTATTCAATGCACTCAGGTTAAAAAAGGGTCTTTAAGGAGGCACCTTTAACGCACTAGTGAGTCACTTGTCATATCCTACACAGTTTCTTTTGAGTAACAAAAGAAGGTCAATAAATTCCAAGTGAGGTTAGTTGGGGTACAGGAATAACGAAGGAGCAGAGTAGGAAAGACTGAGTTAACAAAAGAGTTCTCACAGAGAAGTTAAATTCTGGAGGGCTGGTTCTTTCCATCATAGGAAAAAAAAAAACCAAAGATGACAAGGAATTACATGACAACTTTTAACCACATACAAAGTTTACCTGATCTGGTGATACTTTTGTGGAGAAAACATCAGCAAACTCACTTCTGAAATTCTCTGGTAGAGTGTGATACATCTCCTTTTCATCTAACTTCCAGTATGAAAGTCCTGACAAGAAGAAACATCAAAAAAAAAAAAAAAAGACAAATTTCAAGCTCGAGGCTATAGAACAGGAATCCCAAAATCCATTAGTGAAATGTTATTTTGTCTTGAACAAGAATGCTGTGTTAGTTATTTGCATCTATTGCTTAAGGATCTTATTAGAGCATTTGTTACCAGGAGTGACAAAACTCTCAATGCAAGGCACAGGCAACATAACCAGCATCACATCACACAGCACCACAGTCACTGATGGGTGTTGAGGGGAAAAATCCTCAATTATCACAGACTTTCATATTTCTAATGATTCCAGTGTAGCACTTAAAACTGGTATCACCCAAGGGATAATCCCAGGCAGCCACTGGATCCTGCAGACTCCTCAGTTTGGTGTTGAACAGCACTCTGTAACATGCACAAGGACAGACTGCCAGGACTAAGGGGTGGCACAAGAGGAACAGACACAGACTCAACCCCACTTCAGTTTTTTATATGTGTCCCTCTCTCAGTGGCTTGTGAAGCAGCAATAATTATACACAGTTTGCAGGGCTGCATCTCTGTGCCCCTGTTTGTTACTGACAGGAATCCACCCTGTTATGATCAAAATATGGGAATTAGTTTTTTGGCTTTCATCAAAAAAAACACAACCCCCAAACCATGAAAAACCACCACCAACCACCTCTCATATCCAGCCCCTAGAACAACAAAGCCAAACCATGAACACAAAAAAGCAATCTAAGAATCACCACATTACCAGGTCAATGATGCTCACATTTGAAGCATCATTTGATACCTTGCCACGATTTTAATAGTAATTATGTTATGAAACAGTTTTAAACACAAAGCTCAGCTTTGAATCTTGGGAAATTTGGAAAAAAAAAAACCAACTGCTGCATGTCCTACATCTGCCAGCAGTGATACAAAGGAGCTGCATCAGTTTGAAAACAGGAGCAAGAAAAGCAGAATTATGCTAAATGAAAGCCTGCCAGTGCTTAAATCCTCCTCACCTCCCTGGAGTTACTGGAGATGCATTCCAGTAAAAGCACTGAAAAATGAGAATTCCAAAGAAAAGGAAATGTAAGTACAAGAAATTAACTCTACCTGAAGCTTCAGACACCAAGGAATTGGGACTTTCCTTCGGTTGGTTGAGGTAAAAAGTGTAAGGTGGCAAAGCAGCATCAGTAAGGTTTGTCTAAAATTACAATGGGAAAATAAATTTATAAGGAAAATCACAAGGCAAGGAAAAAAAAATCAAGGGTATAATTTTTTTTAAATTGCACATAAAAATATTTATATTTTTATACATATTTATACAGATATATAACACATTTATCTTTTTATATATATAGGTATATATTTATATTTTCTATAAAGTGCCTGTGTGCTTGTGGAGCATTTTTGGGATTAGCTGTTACACAAATACACATTTTGGACAGTCATCTCAACTTTCTTGTTCCTTAAGAGGTACAAGTATATAGAGATGACTTAACAATAAAGAGTCACTTCCTTCCTCATCCTAAGATTGGAATTTCATATATTCAGTTGTTATGACTCCACCTACCCCAAATTTGCAGGTACCACAGTCTGTCATCTCAGACAGACAAAGTATTCCACATCCTTCTACTCATCACTCCCAACTTTCCAAACATCCCCAGCTAATTAAAGCAAAACTTTGAAAAGGGTGGGACCAACAGAGGAAAAAAAAATTCATATTATTTAAGATTTGCCACAACTCTCCTCTTCCTTAACCAAAGGAAGAAGTGGCACTGATATAACACCAGAGCAACTGAGGAAGGGCAGCTGCTTAAAAATGGTCATCTCACATTGCTCTTTTCTGCTCTGCTTGGGGCTTTTTTTTCCATTAGTGCAGCTCAACAATTGTACAAATCCACACACCTCATACAAGTGAGGACTGTAACAGGATAGTAACCACTGAGTTAACAAAAGTAAGAGAGAAAAAATCAGAACTAAAGCTGTTTAAGTTTTTGCAGGAATTACCATCTCACCTCAAGGCTATTTTGTCCCTCTTAATGTTTTTATTTAGGTATTTCCTTTGCCTAAGGAGGAAGAAAGGAAAATGAAGGAGTAGCAACTGCATTCTTACAAAGAACAGAAAGATAAAGCTCTTTTCAAAATCTGAGTTTCTGGCACTAATTTCCTTATGCACTCTCTCCTGTAGCAGAGAGAGAAAAGAAAACCAACCACAGCAGATGAATTTGACTCCTGGTTTGAAAAATCCCCTTAGAGGAACATCTTGTTTCCACTGACAACAGAAGACTGAAGAGAGCAAACCCAAAGAGCTGCTCTCAGCCTTTCTGGATCACCCTCCAAGTGACCACAGGAAAAAACAAACAGACTCTGCCTTGAATCAAGTGATTCCTATTTGCTAGTCCTGTTCTCTTGTAGAAGCCATTCACAGAGTTTCAGGAATTATTTCCCTAGAAATGGCATAAGGAGAGAGGTTTGTGACATTGAATATGCTGGAAGTCATTCTAAAGCTTCCTAGTTGGGTGTATGATGATTACTCATGCAATCATGTTGCATAACATACTTTTGGATCAGAAATATTATATGTGATTAAATTCCCCTCCTCAAAATAATCAGATTTGTGGACATACACAATTATTAACTCAAAAGTATGAGAGAGGGGGAACCCAAACTCTTCTCAAAAGAAGTATTTTGAGCTGATTCAAACTGAGACTGCTGAGAACACTAAAAAAGCCCAAACCAAACTAAACAAAAAAAAATCTCTGCAACTTAAAATCCCAGTCTGGAAGAATGTTTGTCCTGGGCAAAGTGGTTAAAGCCTTAACAACACAAAGAATTTTATGTGCCAAAAGAGGCATCAGCAGCTGACAGATCCTTCAAAAGATCCTTCAAAAAATTACAGGGCACCACAAATTGCCATGACCTGAAGGTTCAATTGAGAATGTGGCCATTATCTCCATAAGGAAAATACATGTGCCACTTGGGGAGGTGTTGAGACAAAGATTAGGAAATGAATAAAATAAGCCAAAATCACTGTGTGCCTGAGTATGGAATGATCCAAGAAGTAAACTTTGCCCACATGAACTTTAAATACATGAATGAGAATTGCTAAATGCTAAATATGAAAGGATATGCTGGATGAGAACATACTGTAACTCTGCAAAAATACCAGTGACAAGAATAACATTAGAAAAACATAAGAAAATAAAAAGAGGCTTACATTCTCAAGTGGTGATTTCTTCACTTTCTCATTTTCTTGCATAGAGTTCACACACACTTCATCTGCAGTTATCCTTTTTGGTTGGTTTTGTTTCAACTTTTGTGCCCACGATGTTAAAGATTTACTGGATGGTAAGAAACACACACATATAAGGAAGGTATTTTCCCCAACACATCTACAACAAATAAACACTGCAGATGCAAACCTGCATCTGGCTAAACAAATATATTTATCTACTAAGCAGCAAAGTTTTTTACAATCAAGAGATTCCATTCAATTCTTGCATGTTCTCAGTGACAAACAGCTGTTTACTCAGTGGGAACTGTCTACAATAAATTAACATACTTGGAAAGTTTATCACTTACCTGGGTTTCTTCCCACATGGAGCTTCATCAACTTTATGCTCAAATTCAGCAGGAAAAACTAAAATATTGTTCCTTCCCGGTGAACAATTTTCCTCTATTCTTTTTGGTAAAAGTTCTGTTTTATTTTGAACACTGGCTACAATTGCATCACTCTGCAACCCTGCTCCATCCCCGTGTCCTTGGGAAGTTTTCTCCATGGAATCTGTGGCCCTGCTGGTGCTGTTGGCCGTGCCAGGGTTCAGCTCGGAGGTGGAGAGCGTTCCATACCCGCTGTTCATGGACGCGTCGCTCCCGCAACATTCCTGCTGCAGGTCGGATGCACTGGGCTGGTTTTCTGCTTCATTGGACCTGAGCTGATGGACAATGCTCTCGTGTTCCTCCAAGAGCTCAGATCGCATCCCCATTGGAATTGCTAGTGGTGGAAAAGCGTCTGGAAGCGTGGCAGGCAAACCCCGGCTCCTGCCGGCTCCCCAACTGCTGCTCCCAAACTTCACCAGCTGCCTGATCTCAGCCTGAATCAGCTGCACAAAGGGAAAAGGCAGGATTCCCATGAGATGGTGGCACAAATCACATCTACGTTTTGATGCTTCATGTGATTAGTGACAGAATTAGAGCACTTATTTCATAGGACTCCAAGATGTGCAGACACCTCATGCATGAAGGAGATCAGCACGTTCTGCGCGCAACAGTAAAATGTCCATGGGAACAATCCTTCATTCCATGCAGTGAATTCCAGGTCTCAGGAGTCATTAATTCATGTAAAAAACATGCATGAATGTATTCACTAACTGCCTTCAGAAATACAGTCACCTCCCAGCCAGCTGAAGAAATATAAACAATCCACAAACGTGGACAGAAGTGTTTTGCTAAATTTAGGTCTAAACCAATTTTTATCTTGGATATACATTTTTAAAGATTGCAAGGATGCCTCACTGGAAGGATTAACCATTCCTCTATTATGCTAATAGGAATAATGTACCTCTGTAAGATTATTTGCATAAAACTTGACTTTAAAATACCCAATTTAGATATTATGGGATAATACAAAGATCTACATTTAGATCGCTCTGGTGTCTGATGGAATGGAACAAACCTATGACTGGATCACTCCATTTAACAGGTTACTTGGTTTACAATGTCTGCAGAGAGTTATTTCAGTGCATAAGTAATTTTTTTTTTAAGTTCTACAGTTGTGCACTGGATGTACTGAAACAGTTCTGAGAAACAAGTGATGCCTCTGCCAAGGGCTATGGAAAGATTTCCCATTAGTGCCCATGGGCAGCACTCCCCTGGAGTTATCTTGAGATTACTGAACTGCAGGAGCACACAACTCTTCTTACTTGTGACAAGACCAGTGTATAGAGTTGCTTTCAATAACATATTTCAAACTAACTCCCTCAGGAAAGGCAAAAAAAAAAAGTCCTTGCAATAATTTTTGAGAACACGGAACTCCTGTCTTTTCACAGGACTACAGGACATCAGTCACACGCGAACAGCAACTGGAAAGCACGAACTGAACAAAAATCATTTGTTCTCTTAAAGTAAGAAATAAAAAATAAGACAATTTCAGAGGAACCTGCTTGTAACTCTAGTCAGGACCAAGCCTCAGATGTTTTATTGACTTGCAATAGAATTAACAATTGAATTTCAGCTCAGTCTTTCTATGCCAAAAAGAACAAACAAACAAAAAGCTTGGGATGAAGTTTTCTTCCATAACAAAGTTTTTTTCTATTAGTGATTTCAATCATGAGTGCAGCAATTGTTTGCACTTTAATTCTGTGACTGAAATCTGTCAGAAAGGTAGGAAAGGGAGAACAAAAGGGAAAAAACAGAACTGGGGGTGAGGAGGGAGATCAGATTCCCTGCTGACATTTAATCTTTGTCATTAATACGCTGTGTTGGAAAAGTGAAAGGCTACAATTCCAACTAAAGTGCATTTTAACTTCTCTTTGCATAGTCACAAATAATTGCAAGAGATGGAAAAACCTGGGAAAAATAAGATAAGGTTCCTAAAGTTTTGGGATTGTAGGAAAATTTGGTTTTAAATCCTTTTCATAAAGTCTGATCTTAGGATGATCCACAAGTGGTGACAGCTCATCTCCTATCGTTTAGGTCACATAAGCCAAGGACTGACCCCACTGATTCCAAAATGAACTCAAGGTCTTTTGATCCCTATTTTCACATGGATGAAGATGTATTTTTATAAGCACAGTTGGTCTTGAAACCCAGCCTAGAGCAAGCCTTATCTCAGGCATGTCAATGCTGATGCAGCACCTTGCTTTTCTACCCCAAATAGATTATTATTTTTGCCTTTTTATTATTCTTAATAGAATGTGTTGAGTTGCCTGTGTTTTCAGCAGGTCTCTGGCACACCAGTTAATGTTTGGAACAGCTCCATTTATTTTATCTAATGCACTCATACAACTAAGTGGTAGCTGTTAATTTTGCATTTAGTGTGGCAATTCATGCAGTCAGTAAATCCCTGCTGGCACCACACCCTCAGCTCTTCCAGAGGTAGCCTTTCCTATTAAAAAAGACAAAAACCAGCCAAGCCAACACAATGGATTAGTAAAGACTATGATCAACAAGTGAATCAAACCACTACAGTAAGAGGAAGGAAATAACACAGGTAACAAAACACTGGTGGGACGAAAATGCCAAGATGGGAGGCACAGGGGAGGAGGTGAGGCAGGAGAAACAGGATAAAAGGACAGTACCTCTTGTTAACTCAGGAACTGCTAATTATTACTAGTGTGGAGGGCACCAGGAAAGGGAAGGGAAAAACAGCAACCAAAATGATGAGGATATTAAGCATTGTATATTTATAGTATTACTGTCTCTTATACATACAAAGACATTTTTCCTGTTCTAAAGGATAAATGTGGTTCAGCAAAAATGTGAACCTTCACAGGGGTCGTTTTTCATTGTTAGAAAGGAGACTGTTCAACTGAAGGGTGAAAAAAGTGTTCAGCTGTTACAGTGATGGTTTTCCTATGCTATGCTGTCTGGATGAGGGAATGACAAGTAGTACAACATTTTCTAATTAAAAGAAAGCTACAGTGGCTCAAAATTGGAAATTAAACAGTCTTACAGCTAATAAAAACCATCTTGTACCTACAAAATCCAGTTATCATGTGGGCATTCTGAACCAAATGTTTGTGAAAACAAAACAATTGAAAACAGATAATCAACAAATCTCTTCTGAAATGGTTCCTACCAGTTAACCTGTTAATTAGCCAAGGTTGTCTCAAATATGCATCCAGTAAACAGCATTCCAGTCGTCCACTTCCACTACCTGCCTCTCTGCATTGTTTTGGAGGGAGAAAAGAAACATTCAGCCTCATCTACCTACATGGTCAAATCATTACTTACTTTGATTTGATGGTGGAACTGCTCTTGCTGGGCAACTATTTGTTGCTGACATTGTTTTTCTACCAGTCTCAGCAGCTGTAGCCACCTTGTCTATTAAATCACAAAGTAAAATAATTAAAGCACAGTCACATTGCATCTCTCACCTCTTCCTGTAGATACAAATAGCTTTGCAATCCTATACTTAGGTGTTGACATAGTGCAAAGCTGAGTAACAGCACCGTGGTTTCCCACCCCACCACCCCTGCAGCCCCCAAAGTGTCAATCAATGGGAACTAAAAGAAGAAACAGCTGGCAGGGAAGTACAGTCAAATTTTGGAAAGGTTGATCCAGTTCAATTAATTAAAGGCAATTTTAAAATTGAGAATTAAACATCCCTCTGTCCAGGGAACCATTCACTTCAATAAGAAAGTCTTCAGCAATCCAGCTGAAGGCCATGATGCACAAATATGCAATTTAAAAAAAAAATTAATTTAAAAAAATCAAATGTATAGCATTCCTAAAACATGGCAAAATCTGATGTTTAAAAACTATTTTATGCCAATGTTTATGGAGCCTCGTGCTTGAAGCACAGGACACAGACATCAATATTCTGTTCCTGGAGGTGTTAAAGAGAACCCAAATTAAGCATCTGTCAAGAGACACTGTGATGGATCACAGCCAGAAAGCTCAAAAAATTCTGCAGCAACAAGCCCATGGTGTGGAAAACTAAGGTTCCTTATGATGACTAAAAATAGTTATAATATATAAAATAAAAAAGGACAAAAACATTCAGAAAAGTGTTTGGGAGAATTAGTTCATTGAAACCCCATCATTATTTTTGTGTTGCTTTAAATCTGGAAACGAACTAATCACCTACACATCTTTACAAATGGAACATATAAATAAATCAAGCAAAAGAGAACCATTTTTAGAAAGAAAAGTTCTATTTTCTAGGATCACTTCAGATCAGTTTGAAGTGCTACAGTTTTAAATTTTTCAGCTCAAAAATTTTGGGGGGAAAATATTCACACCTGTATTGTAAAACATAAGATATAAAATAGTGGAAAATGCTAAGATAAAATTGCAATAAAATCCAGTCAGGTGATTAATTCATACTTGTGAAAGGATCTGTCCCATCAAGAAGAATAAACACATATATTTGTATATATAAATCCATATATGGATCTTGCTGCTGAACTACATCATTAGATTTGTCTTCCAAAATGCAGAGCAAATAAATTAATATAACTTCTTTTAAATAAACCTGAACATCAGTTACCTCACAGTTCTTCACAATGTCCGTGTCAGCATTTCCAATGGCCTGGATGTCTTGCATAAAGGAGGCAAAGAGCTCAACAGAACCAGGCTTTAATGAGGACCTGGTTTTCCCTGAGTAACCAGAAACTCCATTGGGATTGGATGAAGGACTTCTAGTGAAACATGAGGAAAAATAGCTCAATTATTTATTGTGTCAGTTGTGCAACACAGTGGCCAAAACAATACACTACATATGCTGGGCAGCCAGAAAAGAATTATACACTTAATTTATACCGAGACTCTCATCATCTTGAAATAAAAATGATAAATTCACGAGGAGATTTTTTAAGCCAACGTCAAAGAATCCACAGTGTGCTTCACTCTTATCCTACACACTATGAAATGCAGTTGCTTTCCAAGGAGAGAGAGACAGGATAATCAGCACAGATATTGCTGCTCACTGGTACAAACATCACCAAATACAGCTTTGCATCAAACTCATGTGATTCCTCAGAGAGCCTGAGGTCAGAAGCTCACAGAGCTGAGCTTCTGTGGAGCAATGGTTTATGAAGGGCAGGACTGAGGCCTCTTGGAGAAGTGACATGGGCAGGAGTGACTTGTAACTCTCATCTTAACAGGGCAGTCAAGAACCACCTCTCACTTAGGCCATCAGGCCATATTTGCACTTCTTATTCCCTGGGAATAACTCAGGCATTAAACAGAAAAACAACTCAGTTTTCCTAAGCTGCTGCTCTCCAAAAATGACTTCACACAACACATGAGCTTTCCAAAAAATGATCTCTTACAATTTGGCCAAGACAGGTTCCCTCCTTCCTCCCCCATTCTAAGAGACACAAGGCAATGGAAGTTAACTAAGAATTTAAGGAAGGCTTCACAGTTCTTTCAGTAAGGCTTTCCTCTAAAAAGAAATCTTTCATCAAGGTTATACCTGTGAAAGTAAAAAGAACCCTGAAATACATTGCAATCTTACATATTATTTCACCTTAATAACAACAGTACTGTAAAAACATTCGAACTAAGCAAACCCAAAATAATAAAAATATTTGTTAGGAATTCCTTCAGCACATTACCTGTTACAGTTCAAGTTACAGACAGAGCTGTGGGTGTTTCTGACATCAGAGTCTGTAGAAGATGAAGAGATTTCCTGTACAGAATTCACCACATCCCAGTTTTCCATATCTTGGCCCCAAGTACGTTACCCTGAGAACAGAGAGAAATAAGAATCACCTTCTTACTTTAAAAAACCACTTGACTTTGTTGCTTGAAGAAACAGAATTAAAGAGGCAGTTGTTTCGGCTAAACCACTCCAGAAAGTGCAAATATTCCACAACCAGCCCCTCTCCCTTCCCCTGGGCTACACCTGCAAACAGGAGCTCCTTAGTTAACTTTGTGCCTGCTGGGACTCCTACGAGTCAAAGATATTCCTAACTGTGCATCACACCCCTGGACTGGACTGGAAAGGGTGTCAGTGCAAAATGTTCCAGGTAAAACAGTGTTGTTGGGGTTTGGTTGGTTGTTTTTTTTAAATCTGAGGCTCCACAGAGAATTTTCAAGACTTCCGTGAAAATACCTACTACCAATATATTTAAATGTGACCAAGGATCTGCAACTTCACTGGGAGAAACACACTCACCAAAATAATAAACACAAGACCCACTGAGTTAAATAAACTGCATTTGACCAATTTTGCCATTTCTGTGTCTAATATCTGGCTCACTTTTTTCACAGATCACTTGCTTCATTGTTATTATATAACCCTAATTCAGAAAGCTTTGAAACTGTTCTGAGCTACATTTCTTAGAGATTAATAAAACAACAAAAAGAGCAGTCAGACAGGAATCCCACAGCAGTTCAAAACAGCAGCTGGTTAACTGAAAGCATCATAAATAAATAAACACACAGTACTTGTGCCATAGTCTTACAGCACTCAAAGCAGGGTGGCTGTAGAGAGACTAAAAGATTCTTCTACTTTCACTAAGAAAACACTTGAAATATATTAATTAATCAGTTCTTATATAGTCCTTATTTCAGCATGTTCTACACCCTGGTGAATTCAGCCCTTGTTGTAACACTGAAGAAAAACCTTATGATCATTTCACAGATGGACAGTAAAAAGAGACATTAGGAAATATCCTGTGATAATGCCAAGAACAAATTCCTGCTGCCTTAAGGAAGCACAACACCTCCAAAGCACAACCATTGCTCTTTACAGGCCTTACAAAGACATGCTGATGGGTTTTACAGACTCATGTTTTCATCATTTTTAAGTGCATAGAGATGTATCTCTAATAGATAGCTTCGGAAATATAAAATATTTCCACCAGAAGGAAACTGAGAGACAACTGTCTCATTTTTCCCTGTTTTCTTGGAGCCTGTTTGGCTCAGCAGAAACGTTTTTTGGGTACTCACTCACACCATCTCCTCTGGGTAGGGCTGAAAACGCCAGAATTCAAAGGAAGTTACCAGAGACACACATATCCCTTTGGCAGAGCTTCTTGGGATAAAGAAGAAGAAAAAAAAAAAGCCTTTCTTCCTTTTCTAGCGGTCAGAAGTCTGGAAAACTTGGAGGTTATCAGACTTGGCAGCTAAAGCTGATGCTGGGAGTGTCTCTGGAGCAGCTGGATGTGGGATCAGTCACCCCCCCAGGATGGAACCATGGGCGGCCTATCTCAGCAGCACAGCAATGGGTGGGACTTAGCTGTGACACAGGCTCGTTTCATAACCTCATTACAAGTCTCTTCGCAATAAAAACAATATTTAGTGAGCTATAACGGGGCTGCGGGAGCGCTGAGCCGCCATCCCTCGACTCCGCAGCACAGCACGGTCCTTATACGGCCACGTCGCTGCATAAAGGGGCAGGCTCGGAAAAAAAACAACCCGTGAGGTGTTTTAACTCTGAAATATCAGCGCCCGTTTCGCCGCAAACGCCGGGGCCGGCACAGCCTCGGAGCCCGGGAGGTTCCGCATCGCCCCCCGAGCCAGACCCGCTCCCTTCCGATCCCTCGCAGGTCCCTCAGGGCTCCTCGGAGCACCCTCGCCGCCAGGCCCCGCGTCCCCAAGAACCTTCAGCGGGACCCCGCGACGGGACAACGAGCCGGGGCTGCAGCGCCGCGGTGCCCTCAGGAACGGCCCCGGCCTCAAGGGCTCAGCCCCCGCGGGGACCCCTCTCGCCACGTCTGCGCCCCCGGGGCCTCCTCCCTTCAGCCCGTGCCCCCTCCCCGGCCCCGTGTGGGCCTCCTGCTCTCACAAGCGCCGCATCCCTCCCGCGGTGCCCCCGCACCCGTCCCCGGGCACCTCCCGCTCCCCTCACGGTCCCGTCCCTTCCCCAGCTCCCTCCCTCCCGACTCCGCCCCCCCCGCCCTCCTCGGGCCAAGCCCCGCCCCCGCGCTCCGCGGTGTTGACAGCGCCGCCGCCTCTGATTGGCTGGAGCGCCCGCCACTCTCCGGGGGAAGGGGCGGGGCGACGGAGGCGGCTCCGCGGCTCCGGGACGCGGCGCTGGGACGGGGCCAAACGCGGCGACGCTGCCCCCGCGGGCCCGCCCGGTTCCTTACCCGCATCGCTGGGAGCCCGCGGTGCCCGGTCAGCCGCGTCCCGCCGCGGCCGTGAGGCGATGGAGAGGCGCGGGCCCTGCGCCGCCCGCCCGGCGATTGGCGGCCCCGAGTTTCGAACCGTGGGAAGGGTAGAGGGCGCTCCAGACCGAGCGCCGCGCGCTGATTGGCCACCTCGAGCGCGCGCCGGCCCGCGCCTCCCGCGCTGATTCGCTGCGCGGCAGAGCCCGCGCGCCGCCGCGCGGGGATTGGCGCGCGCGGCCGCCTGGGTTCCCGAGGAGCCCCATTGGTGGTGAAGGGGACTCTGCGCCTAAAGCCCGCCCACCGCGCGCAGCGATTGGCTGTCCCAGGTGCCAATCAGCGCGGCGGTACCGCCCCTCCCTTGCGTCGTGCGCATGCGCAGCGTAGGCGCGGCGGGGCTGGCAGAGGTGAGTGAATTGTCCGGGATTTCCGTGTTTCCTCTTATGTTGTCGTTGTGGGGTCGAACAGCGGGAACAGGCCGAGGGAACGTGGGTTTTTAACCCTGTCTATGAAGAGTTGTCAGTCCTGGTTTCAAAGCGGGCAGAGCCGTATGAAACCGGCTAAATAAAGGCTTATTCCCGGTTTTTCTGCATGTATTTTTGGTTAAAAAATTACTAACTTCTTCAGTAGGTGCCAATAAAAGTTTGCTGAAAAATATTTTCAATTCTTTTTATTATTATTTAATTGTTTCAAGTTATGTTCAACTTCTTATGGATATTTATTCACAAGCTGAAGTATTTTCTTCTACTTTAAGCATAACAGGATGTACTGTTTTAATTGATTATTGCAGAGTGACATTTGAAAGCAGTAGGACTTGACATTCCTCATTATCCATGAGGCTGTTCAGGTCAGACTCCAAGGCAGAAATAATCTCTCTTTCCTCTCTTCTTTTAATATTTGATATCTTTAGTGTTTCCCAAGCGCTGGTAGAAGTGCTTATTGACTTACTGTTTTCCAGATCCCTTTAAAAAATAATAATCCCAACTATTTTAAGAAACCTAATTACATTAAGAACCAAAATTCCATTCAGAATGGTAAATATTCCAGGGCAAATGCCAATGAAACAGTTCAGATATCCCTGAAAACAAACCTGGTTATGAAAATATCGCATAAGATGTGCAGCCAAACTGGATCATCTGAAAACAAGGATTCTCATAGTAAACTCCACTCTCCACTTCCTTTCCAGGTTTCATCCCAGAGAAGCCTGTCCTCACTCCTGTATGAATGTTCCAGGTTTCTTTCATTTTCCATTCTTACTGAGAGAATTATCAGCATGGACACCCTGGATTTTGAGGAAGCAGCAGCTTTCCCTGCCCAGCATTCCCATGCTTCAGGCAGCAAGAAAGAGGAACTCCCTGAATCTCCTTGGACTCACTGAGGCAGAACTGGAAGAACAGTTTGTGAGAGGTGATGGCCCAGGGGGTCAAGCCACAAATAAGACAAACAACTGTGTTGTCCTGAAGCATATTCCATCTGGGATTGTAGTGAAGGTAATTATGTTCTATTTTGTTAAGGCACGAGGAAAAGTTTATATTTATGGTAAAGAATCTCAGCAAGAAGCACCTTTGGCTGTCAGCAGATAAACAAACTGGGGTCAGAGCTGATCTTCCTGGCTTTGCCATGAATTTACTGGTTTGTAGTTTTCAGGTAAATGAATCTTCATTGTAGCTGTCACATTCCTGTCCCCCATGGGAGTGAGAATCTCTTCTTTAACAAGTTGTTCACACTCTGCAGATCCTTTTTAAGCATTTCCCTTACCTACTTCTTGTGAATTAATACCTTGAAATTAATCTTTGCTTCCTGTCACAAGGGGAAGACACAGTTAAGTTAAACTCAAGCAGCTTTCCAAGGTAATATGGAAGCATTAAAGATTAATGCAAAAGCCAGTCTGACAAGTGCAGTAGCAATAATTATTAAAATATATCATCTGGATATAAAAGTTCCAGCTGTTATTGGTAGGTGGATGCTCTTGGCTCTGGGAGGAGGGGAGTTTCTTTGCTGTAATGGCAGGAATATACAGACTGAGAGGGAAAGCAGAAGAATAAACAGGGTAAAGTTCCAGTAAAAACATCCTGTTGTATTTCTTCAGTGTCATCAAACAAGATCAGTGGAGAAGAACAGAAAGATTGCCAGAGAAATCCTGCAGGAAAAAGTTGATCTCTTCTACAAAGGTGAAGAGAGTGATGTTTATAAAGAGAAAAAAGCATCAGAGAAGAAGAAGCAGGAGAAAAAAAGAAGAGCAAAGGAAAACCTGGAAAGGAAAAAGCTTTTTAAAGAGGTGCAACAACTGGATAAGAAATAAACCTGTGAAATACTGACTTGCCCTAGTGGGGTAAGGGAAATATGTCATTAGACCTGAACACACCTTTCAGAATAACATGATGTGGGCTTCAGAGGCACAGCTGAAACACCCAGTGCTGACCTGCTGTTGCTGTAAAGGGATAAAAGCACTCAGGTATTCCTGCTTCTGTCTGCCATCATCTCATTAATCACACTTAGCAATCAGTTCTTCTGCCAAGTTCAGAAGATAAAAGAATCCTTGTTAAAAAGGAACTATAAACTTTCCACTGTTGTTAAGGGAGACAAAAAAAAAATTCAGTAGATTTCCTTCTGCCCAGGTGACACCTTGGGATGCTTTGTAGAGGCTCCAGCACACGAGGAAAACAGCACTAAAAGGTTCTCTCTCACTTCCCATCCTTACTCAGGCAATGCCTTCAGTGACATAAATCCTTTATAAACCAGGTTTAGATACTGGTTGTGCTGCTGTGAACTGACCTGCTGATGGAAGAGACACCAGTCACTGGCTGCCTCCTCCAGATGTGTCAGCTTAACAAGTGCTCTGTCCTGCTCAGCTCTGAGCAAAGTTTAAGCAGCAGCTTTGCAGACCTTCCCTGCAGTGGTGCTGAGCAGGAAGGAGGGTCTCTCCTCAAGTGAGGGCTGGGCAGTCATTTCTTCCAGTTCAGAGGTAAAACTGGGTCATTACAGATAAGGAACAATGTGTGTTGGAAGCTGCCTCCCAAGCCAACAGAGTCCAGTTCATCCAAGCGGTGAATTAATTAACTCTTTTTTGTTTGCCTCTTAATACTGTATTTTGTTCAGGTATCCATAGGTCTGTATGTATTAGCCATCCCATTTTCTTTAAGATTTAGATTTTTTTTTTATTTTATAATAGTGAATTAGTCATTTATTATGTTTATGCCATGCTGCAGTTAAATTTGGGCATGTTGGTATCTAAACTCATTTTGAGTTTCCCATTTTAAACAAACAAATGCAGCTGCATTTCCTTTCTCACCTACTCTGAAGTCACTGCTGAGGTGCAATTTCCTGGTTTTACCCTGTTAACAATTCCCACCTGCTTAACCAGAACTTCTCCTTCATTTTTGGACAGCACCCTCACCAGCTGCCACCAAGTTTTGGCCTTCACCAAAGACCCAAAGCCAGAGTATGGATTTTGAAGACAACAGAGATCTAAAACTCCACCTCCTTTTCCCAGAGACTGACTGCATCCCAACGGTGCCATGGATGGAAACTCAGCAGCAAACTGCAGCCCCTTCCCTTGTCCTTTCTTGAACTCCTGCAGGAAGGTTCAATTTTTATCTGTTTGACAGTTCTTGTTTGTGGAGTGTGAATCTGATTAAAGTGACTGTACATAGTTTTAATACAAACTGTTAATGAAAATAAGCTTTATTACGTCAAGTAATAAATACATACAAAGATGCAAATAACAGTTTTAGTAATTTATCCAGAATTTTCCTTTTTTTTTTTTTGGCAAACTTTAAACTGAAATCTCCAGCCTTAATGTAGGAATTAGCTTTCCAGGACCTTGTTATTATTTAATAGGTTTCCCTATTTTCCATATAGCTCATGCACTTTAAATGGACTTCAAAGCACTAACAGTCATGCAAATGTTTATGCAAAATGAACAAAAAAAGGAAAAATAAGAGAAGGGGGAGGTTATTTCTAAGCAGGGTCTATGCTGTATGACAAATTGTGACTTAGCAGACTACTAGGTACAGCATGCTATTCTGCATTTATTAAAAAAATCCTTAGAGCTTATGTCAAACTTTGAAAGATTGACAGTTTGGGGATAAGTGAATATAGTTGAAGGAAAAAACAGAATGAGGCTGTGGCTGGATAAGAAGAGAACTGAAATATAGCCTGGGAGAGAGAGAGCATTCCTCTGCATGCACTTCAGTTTCCACATTTTAGAAACATTTTAGGGAGTTTTAACGTCTTTACAAAATGCAAACCCTCAGTAAGTTGAAAAATCCTTGGTTGTTTGTTTTTTCTTTTTCATTCTTAACTATACATTTTTGCAAGGGCAAAACAAGAAAGGTAAAACATTCAAAATAAAGGAATTTGTCTGAATGTTTCAAGAGTCAAAAGGAATAAGTGTTACTTTTTCTTCATGAAGAGATGGAAAATCTTGCAGCTGAATTAGTGGGCTAAGATCGTGCGTTTCGTTCCGTCTCAGCCAGGCATTCCCGAACTAATCCTCTGGCATGAATAATGCCTGCAAAAGAATTGGACATGTTTTAAATCATCCCATTCAGGTCACACTTGCAATGACAGCCCACAGGAAGGTTTATGTATTTCTGTCCCAAGTTGCCAAGGCTACCAGAGCAGGTCTCAGAAAAGGGAGGCAGCGCTCGC